ATATATATATATATATATACATACATATATACATGTAAACATACATAAATATATATGTATATTGTATGTATTTGTACACATAGTTTTAATTTCTATCATTTGTATAAGTATTTATAATTTTTATTATTTGCACTCACTTTTTTTACCTTAATTCACTTAAATTTGCTTCACCATTTATTTGTTGAGCTACAAAGGTTTTGCATTACATTTCAGATGCTACGCCACAACAACAGAAAGAGCGATCATCAGCCTCGCAAACACTGTTCATTAAGGGAGAGAGGAACGGGGTAGGTATGTGTAGGGGTGGTGGGCAGTTGTAAGGGTGTAAATTCATGGGACCATCGTGATTTGGGCTTGCTCGGGAATTATTTGATAAAATCTTGCATTATTTACATAAATCAACATAGCAGTTAGCAACTGGAAATGCAGTAGTAGTGTTTTAATCGCATTATTTTCCCACAGCACATACACAACTCTTCAAAACAAATCAAATAGACGGATTTTGCACTAGTGGAAAAACTGTAAGCATTTGCTGGACAACTAATATCAGGAATAATAACAGTAATCAGAACAGCACAAACCGTAACATTACTGGCTGTGGTCACCAACGAAGCTTGCCGAAAAGAAAGGGCAGAGGAGGGAAAGGAACAGTTGTCTAAAAATTTTGTTAAGGAGTTTTATTCAGTAACCGACGACCACGAAGAATATAAAGACCGCCTGGGCTATTAGTGTGGTGGGTATCCCATGTACTTTGCGGGGATACTTTAGGTCTGAAGGACCAAGCACAGCTGCGCTTGGTCCTTCAGACCTGAGCTGCATACCTTCATTTAGTACTAGCCGCCTTGCAATGTTAAAACGTTGAAGTCATTCCGTGGTGGCGTTCGTATAATCCCAGAGATTCCCTCGCCCTTCAATTGCCCACCCGCTGCCGTATGCCAGACTAAAGGACGCGCAGGATATTAAGCCCATAATAATATAAGTGTGGAATATCATCAAGGTCGCGAAGATCTGCCAGACAGCCGATTATTGAGATGGGCATCCTGTTTTGTTCTGATTAATGGCAATAATGGGAGTAAGCCGTTGAGAGCCTCGCTTGCTGGTAGTTGTTATTAGTCAGTGCTACCATTCTTGAGATTAAGATTGGGATATGGAAATTTTGTTTTCTAAAGTTTTTGAATACCATAAAACGCAGAACGAATCTGAAATTTTGACTAACGAAGACTTCCTGTTGCGGCAGGCAAGAAAGAGATTCAGTAAGCTGATGGGAATTCAAACTAAAAAAAAACAAAGGCATAAACTAAAGTAAAGTAATTTCTAGCTGCAGTATGTGTCGTCCAGGAGCGATAAAGAACCAGCATTAACCTGGCATGATATCAAAGAAAAAGCAAACGATCTGTGGAACGAAATATGTGAACGTAATCCGGAATACAGTGATCGTGGATTTATTGCCAATATGGTTAGTATGCACAGTTATTTATAAAAAGTCTGTGTGAATTTTGCGGCTAGCATCGTCACTGGCTAATGCAAATGCTACACTTGCTCCCAAATACAACATTTCGAAAAAAAGCGCTCGGTACAGTCAGTGGTACCCGACGCTCCTACACGCCTGCCAAGCCCTTTGATTCTGAACCACATAACTCAAGTTGACACTCACCACCTTTTTGATGCATGTGAGCCATCACTTTGGAAGCCATCTAAATAGTTCTTTATTTCCTCGTAGATATCACTCACCAGTACGCATTGTCTACCAATTGTCAGCAAGACGACCAACATACGCTGCTCGTCGGATTTTGCTTTCTCACGTTGTCGCAGTGATATTCCACATGCCATTCATCTGACTACTTGTTTACGTGGTCATGATGTGAGATGCTAAACATCCCCCCACTCCAACGTTCCCTCCGTCACAGCTAGCGCACACTCTTCAGATTTCGTCAATAACCACATTTCGCATCTCTATGGATCATTGTTTTTAGCACAATCTTAGGCATGGTCCTTCCTATTCGACAATTTAAAGACTGACGGTGCTGTGAAATTTGCGCCGACCGGCAGCTCTTGCCTGTGTAATCTCTGGGGCGGACATTGTGGCGCACATTTTTTTTTAGCGAAGATAGGCAAAAGTGAGTTTTACATTTGCTTTTTTAGGGTTGGGTAGCGCGCTTCGTGCGACGCAATAACATTACGCTGCAGGTGACCAATTCCGCCTCCACAATAACGCCGAAGTTGGTGAGCAGTGGCGATAGCAGTATCAAAAGCAGTACCATCATAGACGATGTTATGCAGTCAGTTATCAGTATTTCGACAGGAACCTCAAAAGTTGCTTTAAGTCCGAGTACCAGTCAGTCAACGTCTTCCAGTCCAACTGGTGCTGATGCTACGGCCATTGTTGTTCTCTCAAAAGTGGATGGTTGTCCCAATGAAGCCGTTGCAATGGCAACTTCGTCCGCGAAAAAACGTCGCAAAAATTTTATACCCAAAAAAGTTGTTGCAAATGATGCTGTTTGCTCAACGGCGATTGATGATCCAGAAATGCCAGCAGACCTAGCAAGCTCAGACCAGGATTTCCTTGCGACCGCCCATAAAGGTGCCGATAAGACGATGGCTGCTTCTGGGGCCGAGCTTTCTGGCAGCTTCTTGAACAATTCGGGAGTTCTGTAAAAATTTGTTATCGGTTACACAGAATTTTGAAGGTGGACTCAGTTTGTGAATGTTGGTGAACAGCGTGTAGCAGGTACCATAGTGATTGTTTAAAACGAGATTAATTAGGCAGCTAACTGTTTGTTATTATTTGCTGTTATCATCCATCCATCTTTTTATCCTTCCTGTGTTTTTTTTTTTATTCTAAGCTTTGTTCCGCACTAGTAAATATGCATTAGGTTTTGGTTAGTGTTTCTTACATCCCCTATAAAAAAATTGCGGCGAATCCAGTGGAGACACTAACTGCAGTCTTCTTACTGTCAGCCAGATGTCATCTCAGTGGCCCATGGAGCTAAGTTACTATTTTTCAGTTCGGGATTCACTTCAAAGCAATCTATTAGATGCTAGAAGATTAATTTTATCCGTCGATTGTCCACAAACAGCACAGAAATCTTTAAGTATCCGCTCAAACTCGATTCCACTGGACTTGTCTCCAATTTTGTCGGTCATTTTGGCCGTTTTTCTTTCATAGTTGGTTAATTATCTAAGTCATTTTCTTGCCTTCTTTGCTTTCATCAGGGAAATGTGATATTTTTTACATTTTCAGCTATTTTTACAGTTTTAACTTTTTATTTATTGGCCTGTTTTCGCCTGCAAATCGCGACCACTACTCGTTCGAAATTCGAAAGATCACGCTCGCTGTTAGGTCTCGAACACCATCAATTGGTTACTGGAACTGAGTTAAACGGAAATGTGATTTGAGCGACCAAAAGTGATGAAGGATATGGAAAATCTTAATTTTTTTTCCAGTGCTTGTCAAGTGTCTCTCAAAAAGCTGGAATGATGATCTTAGTACAATCCAAACGTTTCAGAATCGGGCAGTAGTAGTACTGCCGGTGCTTCTCCATTCTTGTCGTGGGCAAAATTCCCACTGGTTAATAGGAAAATAGTCTTGCGGGGTCCATAACTGCATACTGTAGCTGGCTGGTACCAGTGCATCTGACAATATTATTAATTGCAGTCTGTTTCTCTCAGAAGGTTTTTAGTTTGAGAATCATGAGATTTTTGATAATTATTTGAAAATCTGCGAACTTCCGAATGCATTTCTTGCGAGCTGTAATTTTTGTACCTTTTCTAGGCAGATTTTCGAATTTTGACAGAAGTTAGTGTTGCGATTTATCGGGCTGTTATTCTCCAACAGTTTCATTAATTGCTTTAATTGTTTCTAGCAGCGCTGTAAAACGACAGGCAAAGTTTGTTTTTCTGAACTCGAAAAGTCTCAGTCATTGAAGCTGTTAAACGCAGTTTAGTAGCACTCCAGGCGCTTTGTCGCTGCTAGTTCTACAGTGGAAGCACAATTTTTATTGTAACCAGCACTATCACTTAGATAACTGTACACACATAGTAACCAAGATTTTTTTTACTTTTTACATATTTTCGTGCACATTCGAATCCAGCACCGGTTTAGCTAGTGCTCGGGATAGGATGGAGCCCATGGCACGCAGATCAGAGTGAAGGAACAGAATGATGTAAAATCAACTCCGTGGCGCGCGAAGTAGAATGAGAGAAAGTGATGAGGTTAAAAAGTTTTTTTAAAGAATTTCGTATTTTTTTCTCAAGTGTGAAATTTCCTTAAATCGGTTCTTCATTGCTCTGAATTTGAGAAAAAAAAAGATGAAATACTTTTCTGGCCTTTTTGCTACGTCCTTTTGATTCAGTGAAGTAAAAGGAGCAACTAATGGGCTTTCACCAGCAAGTTGTTGACCAGAAACTAGCGAGGAAAATTTTTTAGGGAAAGTAAATTCAACGTGCAAGGGAAAGAGTGAAAGTAATAGCAGCTGTGAAATCATTCCGGATTTGCATTATGCAGCTGCCAAAGAGATGATGCCAATCAAAAGAGCAAGTTTTTGAGCCGAAGTCGCTCCACCTGCATTTGTAATGATGTAAGCCAAATTTATTTCTTGTTCACCCAGAAATTTTCGGAAAGTCTTTTCGCATTCGAACGTTCGCTCAGTGGAATGACAGTATTCCTGGTTTCCTGCAACCTGCATTGTCAGCATCGAGGAGACCCACTGATCGGCAGGCAGCGATGATAGGAAAGAGGGTGGGTCGAAATTTTCGGATCTTCGAAAGAGCAGTGGAATTCCCGCATATCCAGTACCTTCCCTGAGAAAAATGAAGTTGCTCGCATAATCCTCACATCAAGCATGTATATGTACAAAACCGAATCGTTTTGTTGGTTGCAGTGATTTTGAAGGAGCTGTCCGTAATGTGTCCGCACCCAGTATTCTTGCAGTCTATGTGCGGAAAATTTGTTCCTCCAAGGTACCATTTATCATGGTCTCATTCGTGTCTTCCTCTTTTTGCACAGAAAGAACTAAAGTAAAAACAGCTTTCGTGAGACAGGTAATCGAAAAAAAGCGAAATTCCTCTTAAGGGACAGAGTTCAAGTCAAAAACAGTATCCATATTCCTGGTATTTCACATTCCAGCAGATGTGGGGGATAGAGGGAGGTATACGTACTTGCTTAAGTGAAGTGAGACGCTTTTGAAAATATTTTGGCGAGGTGCCGCTGATGGATTAGTATTTCATGTCGCTTTAATATAAAAGTTGCAGCTAACTGAAAGTATTTTTGAAAGTAGCGCCATGTTTTGAGTTTTCAGCAGTTCATGTTGAGAAATGAGAAGAAACAACGCTCAAATGTTCACCTCCTGCTTGATATTGAAGTCTTATTTGTAAAACATTTTTAGGTGTTTCAGCAGCCGATGGCGTAGCTAGAATTTTTTCCTCATTTTGACATGTTAAGGAGGGACGAGGAAGAGGGTGGAAGGAAAAGTTACTTCCGGGTATTTTTTGAAAAAGCATACTGAAAAATACCTTCTCTCTAAATAACTCCAAGTGGTAACATAATCGTTTTCGATGTAACAAACATGATGTGGAGGATTTGGGGAACTGCTGCTTTTTTCTAAAAAAACAAAGAAACTCTACTTAAAAGAAAGAAACAAAGGCTTCTTTGCTGGCGCCACTGGTTTTTTTTATCACTCTTATAATTATCGTTTTTCGGTTCTTGATACCGGTCACTGTTGTATTAACAGTAAATTTGCAAATAAAAAGGTTTTTAAGTTTATGTGCTCCTCAGGAAAATCACTGAAATATCTTTAAAAATTGTTCTAAAAAGCTGTGCTAAAGCGAGAGCGAGTACCATTTGGGTCAGTGAACAAAAATTTTTTGGTTAAAAAATTTCTGATTTCACGTGCAAAGTCACGCATACGATTTACTCGTCGTCATCTTCCTCGGTATGCATTTCACTTTCCACAGCAGGATAAAATGAAACTGATTTAGAAAAATATATAGGCATCGAAGAGGAACGCAGATACGCGTGGATAATGTAAGAACAAAAAAACGCTAGTTACCTCGACGCTCGAATGTTGTTTAACAATCAAACTCACAGTTCTAAAAAAAAGCAAAAAGAAAAACTGTGCTCGAGCAGTTTTGAAGAAAATTTTTCCAGTGTTACGAGCGAACGTCGTCAGTGGGACTCTGACCAACTTTGGTACCATTAGATCCTTCAAATCGTGACATGTTATCTAACCTACTCGCCCTTACAGTTCACCAGTATCAGGTGCATTCTTACTGCTCACATCCCACCCACAAACACTGTAATTTGTAACCAGCGTTGCTACCGCAAGAAGTGGGCATTTTTTCTATTTTTGCTGGCTTTTTGCGGGCATCGCGAAGACCAAGGCTCCAACAAGCTGCCTTGCTGGTGCTCACAAGTTCTGTACTAGCACATATCATTGATTGCATTCTGTTTACAAAACGCAATTTCTTATATTACAAAATGATGCTTCACTAAAGACGAGTAACCAAGTTTCCGTAAAACCACAGACCACATAAAATCCTGAACTCAGGAAAACTTAATCCCATGTCAAGCACAGCAGTGTTAGGCCTTTCGACTTGAGCTGCATACTTTCATTTAGTACCCTTCATCCATCTACTTGATATGTACGCAGCCATCTCTTTCGAGCTATCTGAGCGGGAAATCCGTAGCAAAAAACAAAAATCAAAATTTTCGACCAACACTTTAGGACAGAATTTTATGTACCATAATATGACAGTGAGACGTCATGAACAGCATGAAAAGCGAAAATTATAAATGCAGCAGACTATAGCCAAACTAAATCTTTAGTTTTATTAAAAAAATATTTTAGTAACATACACTTGTTGCTATACGACTTTTAAAGCTTTATTGAAATCAGTCAGCTTTTGCAAAATTTTTAAAAAAAAAACAAAGTTGCGGAGCGCAACACAGGATCATGATGAGCATGCGTTTGCACCATGAGTTACGAAATGTTAACTTCAAATTCTATGTGTGTGCGTGTGTGAAATACAGAAAGCACGCAAAGATTGATCTCACGTACATTTGCCCATACACTGTCGTAAGCAAGCTCAAAATCCGCTTTTCAGCTGGATTCGCTGCCAAGCTGTCAGTGTTAACGCGTTCGGGTCCGTATGTCCGATGTAAGGGGACATGAAAACTGATGTTATCCACATTTACTCGAACACTGTCGTAGATCAAGCTTACAAGATTTCGGCTTTCCAGCTACTTTTGCTTGCGGAATTACAAAATTGTCAACGTTGGCAATTTTCTTCACAAAATTTCTGTTGATTAGTTCTAGCTTGATTAGTCCCAAAAATCGCTTCCTCTCAAAAAATCTTGAATTTATACGAACGCAAACTCCACACTGTCAAGAATAGCAGGATTTACAATATTGCAAGGCGTGTGGAAGAGCCTCATAAAAATTTCAACCTTCTGGCTTAACTAGTTCTTGAAATCATTCGCCTCCAAAACTTATTTTCGTGTTCCTATGTGAAGATTAAGCGGAAGTGAACGTTTATTTCACGCCTATTGACCCTTTCATAATGATAACGAAATTGCCAAAACTCCAGATTCGTAGTTTCCATAGATCTGGAGATTGAAATATGCAGGTACACATAGTCAACCTTCTCTATCATTTTTC